AACCCGCGATCTCAACTCTAATAATTCCGAACTCATTTGCTCATTATTGTTTATTGTCGATATAGGTGTTACCATATTATTATTTTCAAATGTTCCTAAAGTTACAGTTCTTGCAGATTCTATTGACATCTTTGTTGTATATTATTAATTTTTATTTGATGTCGTTATTATTGTTTTTATTGTTTTAGTTATGTTTGTTGCTTTTAAAACGAGTTCTACAGGTTTAATCTATAAATTTTATTTATAAGAAAAAAAAAATACTCTAATGCCTTTTTATTATTATTATTAATAAAATGAAAGAACATTTAATTTGAAGTCGGTGTTACAACTTAAATACAATTTTTGAGTGGTACGACAAAAAACTATATATATATCTCTGTTGCATATAGTAGACTCAATTGAAATTTTTTAAAGATGGCTGATCTCGAATCAACCTCAACAATAATAGTATTATCTGGCTTAGGCAGTTTGAACATCAATAAAACATTGCCACAAGGGATCTTGCCACAGCGGATTATGATTAAATTTGCGTTATAACTGATTTTTAAAATTTTTTTGCTATGATACTGAATTACGGAAATTTGGCATTTACTTAAATAAATTTGCCACGACACAAAGTTGTAAAAATCATAAACCATAAAACCATAATGCCGTAATTATTTACGGCCTATTACTATAGATATTGCGAGAATGCGACCCGAATTATTTATTACAAAGTTACCAGATCTGGCACACAGCCAAGATATTATCTTTACCTAATAATGTTCCAACTAAAACTAAAATCACTATACTACTTGAGCAGGGTTTCTTGTTAGAATAAGGTTTATTCAATTTATCTTTACGAATTTGAGTATTCGAATTACATTGAAAGCTTATTCGAATAAAACGAATAAACGAATAATTTGAGTAAAATAATATAACAAATAATTCGAATAATTCGAATCAAACAAATGAAACGAATAAATGAATAAACGAATAATTTGATAAAAGAATAATTCGAATAATTCAATGTAACGAATAAAACGAATGTAACGAATAAACGAATGATTCAAATAATTCGAATAAAACGAATAAAAACAAATAATTCAAACAATTCAAATAAAACGACTAATTTGGAATAATTGATAAAACGATTAAAACGAGTGATTTGAATAAACAAATAAAATGACGTAAACAAATAATTCGAATTAAGATTGAGTGTTACGAATAATCCGAATAAGAATTTGTATTACGAATAAAAACTCTGTCATTCATTGAGACAATGAATTGTCTGTTATGTATATATTTCTTTTTTAAATAATTTGAATTTAATTATGATAATAAAATAATATTTAACAAATTAAATGCTTTTATGTTTAAAAAATTCAAACAGTCTTTGATACCTAAAACCAGATCATTAACATCCCTATTGATTGGTTACAAAGCTAACAACTTGGTATATACAAATTAACTTTAACAAACATGTTTACTTAATGCGCCAGTCCAGGTTTGGTCAATAAAATTTTGAACTGCATATGTCCGATTATTAAAATGACCATCTTGTAGTCGGATATATCATTTCAGAAATAAAAACATTAATACTTGTGTGATGATCACATGAACTCACAGCCTCCTCTTATTACATTAATGAATTAAGCTTTCTTAGCTTAAAACAATTATATCATTTATACAATGAAAAAAATATTAACGTTTTGGTCTAAAAAAAGCGAAAGAATTGATATAATAATAATAATAGACCTAACCCTTTAAATCAAGGTTATGGGATACAAAATTTTGATTGGTTAATTTGAACTCCACGCGCGAATTTAGAATATATATATATATATATATTTTGGTTTTTTCTTTTATTAAAAAAAAACCCCGATTAAAAAAAAAAATTTATTAAATTTGAATCATGTCAACCTTTTCATTTCAAGATTTTATTTCCTTAAGTTTATTACTTGTCATTGGTTATGTGATAAATTTTTATGTGAAATATTTTAAACGTCCAAACAAATTACCAGGTCCTTTACCATTACCATTAATTGGTAATTTAACTTCATATAGTGATTTGGCAGCTTGGGTAAGTGATCTCCAATCAAAATATGGTGATATTGGTGAAATATGGATTGGTGAAGAAAGAGCTATTTGGTTAGGTAGAGCTGAATATCTTGAGAAAATCTTTAAACCTTCATTTGGTAATTATAATAAGCGTACAACTCCAAACAAAGGATTAGATGCATTGGACATGACTTCTAAAGGTTTAATATTCAATGATAACTACAATAAATGGAGTTATAATCGAAATTTTTTCACAAAAGCTGTCTTAACACCAAGTTTTATCAGACGAAATATCAAGGTCACTCAATCATTATTTTTGGAAATGGAAGAATATTGGAAGGATTTGGATCAACGGGATGGTGAAATCAATATGTTGGATTGGGTTCTAAGATTTTTTGCTGAGGTTATTATATTGACAACAACAAATAAAAAATCTGACACTCTAAATAATTATCATAAAGTTTTGTGTGCACCTGATAAAAATTCTGAAACAGAAACCCTAATTTATCATATCAGAACTATGCTTAATGGGATGGAATTTTTTATGATGACACCTATGTTTTTACATGTTTTGCCAGGTTATAATAGTTCTTCCAAAAAAATCCTTCACAGCTTTGATTGGACAAGGAAACATTACCTGGCAAATTTGATTAAAGAACGTAGAAATGAAATTGAAAAAACACCAATTGATCAAGAATTGACTCCTGATATGTTGACCTTGATGTTAACATTTAATACACCACGTGATAAATCTCAAGGTGATAATCAACAACCTCTTGAACCAATGACTGATGAAGACATATGTGAAAATATTATGGAAGCTATTTTAGGTGGAATTGAAGGTGTAAGTAGATAATGTTTGTGGTGGTGGTGGTATTGAATGATTGATTATTGAGTTATTGGATTATAATAATAATTAAATTTTCAAATTTTTAGATTGCAAGTGGAACTTGTTTCATTATTTACTATGTTTGTCACAACCCTGAAGTAAAACAGCATGTTATTGAAGAAATTCAAAAGGTCATTGATTTAAATTCAGACATTGGCATTGAAGATTTGCATAAATTACATTATTGTGAAGCTGTAATTAAAGAAGGTTAAAAACAAAATTTACTTTTCAATTAATCAAAAAAATTCACATTATATTAATATTAATTAAATATATTATTTTGCAAAATAGTTTTCCGTCATATGCCAATAGTGCCAGTGAATTTTAGAATGGCAGAACATGCTGATGAAATAGATGGTCATAAATTTGAAGGTTCAACAACTTTATTCATAAATGCTCAAGGAATTCATATGGATAAATCATATTGGAAAGAACCTGAAAAATTTAATCCAGAAAGATTTTTATCAACAAACAACAATAAAAATGATGATAAAATCCAAAAGAATACTCTTCAACCATTTGGAGGTGGAGTAAGAATGTGCCCAGGTCGAAATTTAGCAATGGCACAACTTAAAATTTTTATGGTTTTATTATTTGGAAGATTTAATGTTGAATTGATTGATTATTTAGCATCTTTGAAAACTCATTTTGGGTTAACAAGACATTGTGATGAACTAAAGGTGAAACTTATTCCTAGAAAATAAAAATATGAAATATTATTATTTGATAAATTTACTACTATTTGTATAATTTTAAAATTTTTTTAGCTAGAATATTTGTTTCTTACAAAAAAATAAATTACCTTTTCATATTCATTTGGACCATTATACAGATGATGCCTTGATAAAACAAATATACATGATAAACCAATGTTTTTTTATTATCTTTACATTAAAATTTATCTACCGAAGATTTTTTTGTAACGTGGAATTCGGTCGCGTTTACTTCGTCGAAAATTATTTCGACAATCATTTCGTCGAAAATTTGTTTCGTCGAATGTTCATTTCGTCGAAAGTTATTCATCCTCGAGCCAGAGACCAAAAGAGTTAGATGTGAGAAGTGTGGGAAGTTAGTTAAGAAATTAGGTGAGGAAAGCGGAGTGTGTGGGAAGTGTGAGGAGAAAT